GTGTGCTGGGGGAGTGTGTTAGTTGTGATTAAGAACACAATCAGCACAACCAGTACAGAAGAATGGCTCAGTTTGTCACGAGTGGAATTATTATCTGTCCCAGCAGTGCTTTACTCATGTTATGTATATTGAGAAAATCTATAAACTTCCTGAGAGACATTCAGATTTTTCGTGAAGGGATGTAATAACCTCTTTATGTTAGATATAACTCAGTTATGTTCCAGGGCAAAGCTTGAATAGATATATGATATAACCTGTTGCCTTTCATTTTGTATTTTGTTATACATATTTCAAATCTGCATCAATGTAGTTCTTATTAGTACCACCAGCGTATACNCTACTGTAATCTTGCAGATCTTGTTATCTAACCGGTCTTTCTGTTTTCCCAGAGTCAAGACTCTGCAAGCACAAGTGGCCGAGAAAGACGCAATGGTTCGTGTGTTACAAAAGTCTGCCAGTCGCAGCAGCAGTTACGCCAGTCTATTTTCCTCCCCCCGCCATAGTCCCCGCCCCTCTGTGACCTCCCCCACCAATAGCACGACCAGCAGCCGCCAGAATAGCCAATTGGATACCAGTATGCCATATTTGTCCCCCAAACACGCCAAGTCAGGTGAGTAACATGTTGGTATTGACATTTCGCCATGGTGCAGATACAGGAGTGTTTCTCGATTATTTATTTATTTATTTATTTATTTATTTATTTGTATGGATATTTTGATCCTTTTTCAGGTGTGGGATTTTTTTTCTCTTATTGGAAGATTTCAATTTTTATAAAAACCATGAGGTTATCTTGGAAGTTCATTTTTAAACTATTTTGAAAGGCATTTTTTTACAACATGAATTGGTTGATATTAAAAAAAGTTTTAAAAACAATTATCAGGATAGAGAAAGAAAATAAAAAATATGATAAGCTAGTCCAGTGTGAATAATTGACAAAGATTAATAAAACGTTGACTTTCTGTTCCAGCCAGCACAGATATTGCCAGTAGTACCAATGAAAAAGAATCCACAGGTTTAACAAGACCATCATCAACACAGGTCAGTACCATGTGGACAGTACAGAAAGAAGTTTTCATTTTTATTTATTAATTTTTATGATAATCATCAATTTTGTTAAGCATTACTAAGTGATGGAAAAGTGGTGAAGTTGATTATGGTGAAATTAAGTTAAAAACATTATTGATAAATATTTATCCATATACTCCATTTTTCATTGATGTGCTTTTGATGTTGAGGGCATTTTGAAATGGAATAATAATAATAATAATAATAATAATGATAATAATAATAATAATAATAATGTTTGTTTCCAGGCATTAGTCCCAGTGTCTCCTGAAGCTCCACAGGACCACGTGTCTCAACACTGTTGGCAGGTCTAGTTGACAGGATGTAGCCAGTAGAATTCAACTGTAAAGACTAGCCAGCAGTTCATCTGTCCTGACTAGCCAGAAGAGTTCAACTGTGCAGACTAGTCAACAGGCTCAGCTGGATGAAACACATTAAATGTGACGCTGGTCCAAACTGAACACCACTGCAGGGTTGACTTTTGATGTGGAATACTTGTCTTAATTTGACTTTTCATTGAAGGATTTTTTTTACAATTGTCTGGTACAAATCCAATTCAGTTTTGTATCAATATCCATCTATCAGTAAGAGTTTCAATCAGTTACTCTGAGATTCAGAACAGTTTTTATTCAGCAAAGGAATTTTTTCATATCAAACTTCAACCCTTGGTGGCAATATGGAGAAGATTTATCTCATTGGTGCTTACTTGGTTATTTCCTATGCAATATTTATAATGGGCATGTGCAAGAGGAAACTGGAAAGTGGCTTTTCTTGAACGCAGCGACATCTATGTATTTTTGAAAGCAAAGCTTGCAAATTTTTATGATTATTCTGTAGTTTTTCATTTTTCATGATCCTTTATGAAAATATGCTGGTTCTTCTAGCTGGGTAACTATTAATGATGGAAATGAATTTGTGTAATTTCTGGTAGTGTAACAACTGGCAAAGCTAGAGATTATCAAAAATAAAGTCCCTTTTCAGTTCATATCTGGCAGGATTAAAGTGGATTAAGAAAACGAACTACACTTTTAAGCATAGTTACTCAAAGAAAATCATTTCATTAGAGCACTTGACTGTGACCAGTAGTGGAGAACATGAACATTTTTCCTCTTTGATGAACTTGCCATGGCATACAAGTATATTCTTACATAGTCTATAATGAACATTGGATTTGAATGGTAACCAGAACTCTGGAGTGTTCATGTCTGAGCTGCCTTGTTGCTAATGGAAACTAAGTCCAAGCCTCAGTTTCACAAAATGAATAAGGTCAGTTCCCTGGTTTAGTTGAGTAGGTTTTTCACAAGTGCTCTTGATAGGTAAAATGTACTCATGTAACCTTGGTAATTAAGTTCTTAGCCAGGGAACCTGACTTAAGTTTTTTTATGAAACTGGGGCCAAGTCATCTGCGTAACTCACAGCATAATCTGAATATTGTGTTTCTGATCCAGTCCTCACTGCTAATGTTTTGAGTTTCTCAAATAGGGAAAGTAGATGTTTGCCAAGACCTGATACCAATAGGCTGTGGTGAGACACACTTATCTGATTGTGTGGTGTCATGTATATTTATACAATTGGTGGGGTGGGGGAGGGGGGGTAGAAGGAAAAGATCAGGAAATTGAGGAAGTCAATTGTTTTTTTTTTTTTTTTTGTAATTGTATTATGGTTAGTGTAGCTAAACACCAATCATGTGCCAAGATTCTCTCACTAGTGAAAGTTTTGCTGTAATTTTCACTGAGCTGATGGAGCTGTGAGTGAAGTGCTGTAGTCTCGGGTGGGTGCGTGATGTCCCTTCCTTGGTGCCAGGGAAATTTTTACCAATGTTGTGACCTTGACCTATTTATGCATCAACCTGACCTTGATAAAGTGCGTCCTTGACCTTAAAGAAACTGACACGACTGAGATGGGTCTCTAAACTGCTGTGCGTGGACAACATAAGGGCTTTGGAGTGTACATTAGGCTCATTCTGGCATTGTTTCAAATTTAGCTAAGGTGAGCTTTAGAAATGAAAAACATGGTACAGCATTTCCTCTTGATATTCTGCAGTTTGTTGAAGCAGACATTTTGCCAGCATGAACCCTTTCATCTCCCAGGTGGAGCGAGAAGTACACTCACTGTTGTAAAAGTTAGTGATACTGGAGTAAAGTCTGCTCTCACATGTGCTAACATGGTGGGGATATAGAAAACAGGAGAATGCTCATCAAGGTGCTAGTAGAGTAGTACAATTTTTTCCCACCAGATGTCAGCAGGAGCTGATCAGTTATTTGGGTAAATTAGAACACCAGATGGAGAAAAATCATAACGTAAATGACTGTGTGGTGACCTTTTCATGACTTATGAGGGGTTTGGTAATAGAATAAGATCTTGCAGTGCCTTATGTATTACAAAATGCCAAACAATAGCTATGCAAGAACTAGAAGGTTCAAATGACTGGAAAAGGTTTCTTCCCCTTCTCAAAGAAGATGTACTCATTTGTTTATATGCCTTATGCATATACATATGTATTTAGACTTGAAATTGTTTTACTGATGGTAAGGTTGTGGAATGACTTGAGTAAGGGGAAGGGAAATTAAGGTGCTCTTTTGAACAATAGCTTTTTTAGTGCTTTGAAAAAAAGCCTGGATTTTAAGAAATAATAAAACACTGCAAAAAAGATGAATCTGGTTTGTTTTTTCTTAAGCCATACAATTATGTCATCAGTTGGACTGCAACTGTGTGATACTCTTAACTGTTTAAATGGCCTTGTGTCAACTGCAAAAACTGCTCATTTCAAAACAGTCTTGATATGGAAGACGGCTTTATTTATTCCTGAGATGACAATGACTTAAGTGACATGTCAAATTGATAAAACAATAATACATTAAAATAACTTTGATTTGACTGCTGACAAAAATGATCATTAAAAATCTTTCCATAAACAGCTGGCGAATAGGAAGTAACAATTATGTAACTGATATGCCACAGATATGACACCAAGTACATAGAAATAATGAAACTAATTTGCTACTTTTGCCACAATCTTACTGGTAGCTAAATGCAAGCATCTCAAATCACTGGAACTTTCACAGTAAATATTGTATCATCAGCGCATCTTTTACCCACAACAGAAGAGGTGTGCTGACAATACTCAGCCTTGTTTCACAAAGCTCTGGCTGGCAGATTTAGCAAGTGATCATAGCTATGTGATACTGTTCCCCGATTAGTTTCCAGTAATTTTCTATTTAACTAAGGGCGGACATACTTGACAAACATCATACTTTGTAAGAGGCTATTCACTATAGATAGGATAATAAACTTAATTTATTCTTTACTTAGAGACTAAACAACATCAGTCTAATGACATTTTGATCCATCACCTATGGACCTTGGTCCTGTGAATGGCAAATTTTGACAAATGTTAATAATTGATGTGATATGATAAAAAAAAAAACAATGTTTGAAGTGGCCTGGTTCATGATATGTCTCAATGGTACATAACTGAGGCGAGGAAGACGTAACCGTGCTAACAGTTACCATAGCAACTGTAGGATGCAATAAATTTGATCTCAGGAGCCTTAAACTGACAAAAATTATAAATATTCATATAATGATGGAAATTGTTAGAAAATATTTGCATTACAATTTGAAATGTATCGACATAATAAATGCATAATTATATTACTTGACATTAAGTTATGGAATAAAACGAGCATAAATTCAAGTTTTGTACGTAGTGGCAGAAAAATTGAAATGCATGTATGAAAGAATAATCTTTCAACAAAAGATATCTGAAGAGGATATGGAGTCTCCATTTTGCAAAAATTTGATTTTAAAAAATCTAATAACACATTAAATCCCCATGCAGCCCTGGATATGTAACATTTTTAGTGAGACAATGGAGCCCATTTTGCCCCCCCCCCCCCCCCCCCCCCCACACACACACACACCTTCACCCCCCACCCTCTACCTAAATGCAGATTGCACATTTATGCATCTCAACATAAAAATTACACTGATGAACACAGCAACTAGAACTCACCAATCAGCAAGCAGTATGTTTGTTAGAATTATGCTCTCTACAGCTGCATATGTTTCTTAGAACTTATAAAATAAATTAACCTCTAAAGTGCCACTTTATTTACATTACTCGTCAACTCCTGGTGAAATCCCCGTGTCTGGTTTTCTGGTCATATTTCACAGCAACAGGACATTATTTTAAATTATAGCATCTGGCATAATATTCATTAAGAACAGCCAACTAAGAATCAGTTTACCAAAACACGAGAACAGATATTCCCCAAACCCTTACATATTACACAGATTTCCTTCCCACAGCAAATCTTATTATTAAAAGTTGAAAGAGAGGCCCTTTTTTATTCAAGCAAACAGTGATGTCCCCTCAAAGACGAGACTTGATGGGTCTGCGTATCTTCACATGTATAGTAAAACATACTTACAGCACTTTGCTAAAGAAAGGCTAAAGCTTTCTAAGATTTACAGAAACTTTAACTTTGCCCTTCAGTCTCAGCAGTTTCCACGATTTACAAAATTTCGTTGGCACAGCTTCAATTAAACTGACATTTGGTGCAGTAAAATCCCTAACCTCACAGACTTGGCCTCTTTTGATCCAAAATGTCCATTTAGTGGTCAAATAGTATTTAGCCACTTATAAGAAGTCATTCATTTGGATCTCTTCAAAATCAGAATTTGGCTGCATGAAGGTCAAGGGTCGACCATATGAAGGTCAGAGGTCATGTGCATGAAGGTCAAGGGTCAACTGCATGAAGGTCAGAGGTCATCCAGGCCAAGTTCATCATCGTCATCATCCCAGTCTGTGACACTGACCAGTGAGCTCTTTCCTGTCCCCCCTGGGTTCACTGTGCTAGCAGCTGGAAATATAGAACATTGTGTTGAGTGAGATCTTGTCGCAATTGTGTTAGGTGAGTTCTTGTCACAATTGTGTTGGGTGAGATCTTGTCACAATTGTGTTGGGTGAGATCTTGTCATAACTGTGTCAGTGGAGAATAAAAATCACAATTATGTAACATAAATAATTTTTAATAAATATATTATCATAAATACTAAACTTTCTTTGTGGCAGTACACATAAAGTGATACATTCCTATCTAATAAACTGTTATGTTATAAAAACTAAATCACATTTTCAACTAGAGGATCAGAGAGGCGATACCGCCTCCGGATATTGTACCACCAGCTGGAGTAAGCGCATTCGAATGGAA